TTTTCATCCAATCAGAAGTAAAACCAAAGCCAATTGTGACGCGCTCGCATGCATTTTCCCGCGCTTTGCGTCAGCCACATGTAATTACTTCGAGTTTTGATTGGTTCAATGTATTGTCTGTGTCCTATGTGATTGGCCAGAGTAATTACTTTGGTTTTGGTTTTACGACACTCAAACGAAAACCACTCTAAACTGCAGTATATACTAGGATACAGGAAAAAAAGGAAGAAGAATACGACTTAATTACATACAAAAATAGGATGACATATTTTAAATAGAATAGCTCGATAAAAGTGCACATTTAAGGGAAAATTAGATTTCTTTGAATTTCCTTTAAAATACTGTTCAAATCATCAAACTTTAGTCATTAACTATTACTATTTTTATCGCCCGTTATGATCGTATTTATTGATCATTTATACACAACATGTATACATGTAGCTGGACTGAGTGTGGTTAAAAGCCATAACTTTCAGTGTATCAAAACTACAGTCGAATCCCGATAACTCGAACCTTCTGGGGAAATCGTAAAAGGTTCGAGTTACCGGGCGTCAACTGTATCTGTTTTGCTCTACCCGCATAGATTAGCCCTGCCATTTGCGGATGGAACAGTTTTGCAAATTTTCTTTTAAAATACTGAACTAAACTCGAAATTTGAACTTGAAACTTAACACTGCTTCGAAAGTTGTTACTTTCGAAACATTTCCTTGCTACAATTTTCCTGTGTTCTGCAGCGTGAACTAAAAGCTACGAGCTCTACTTTCCCCATACTACGTAACATCATTAAAGCACACACTTACCAAGGCTTTTTGTCGTTTGTTTGTTTTGGTCCATCCAAGTTTATTGTTACTGTGATCATCATCATCATCATCATCATCATCATCGTTATCGTCATATATATGATATATAGGTCACCCCGTTCCCCCAACTAACTAGAAATTTGTGACCCATGACGTAATCCCTCTGAGCTGCCGTCTCCAGAAACAAATGCAATAAACACCGTGAAAAAAAAAAAAAACACCGTGGATACCATAAACCAGTCCTACACCAGTTTAGAGCGGTTTTCACTTGACTGTCGTAAAACCAAAACCAAAGTAAATACACTAGCCAACCAAAGGGCGTAGTAAAACCAAAACCAAACCAATTCCTCGATTACTTTCGACAGTCAAGTGAAAACCGCTCTAACTACCGGGTGAAAAGCGACTTAAGGCTTGTCTAGCAATAGCCTGTTTTCTGATCCTCTATTAATTTTTCTCTTTAGAGATAATCGAGCGCATGTGTGAAAATTAAACCACGAGGGATTTATTCACCCTGTGGAGAAGCTAGTCTAGCAAAGCTCCGATCACATCAATTATTTCATCATCGGGATAATTTTTTCCCAAATTTTACGTGCATACAGAGGAGCCTCTTTTAGGACCTTACGATAAAAGGAAAAACTAAAACTAAACGTTTTCTTGTATGATTCAGCAGAGGTAGGAGCAAAAAATATATTTTTTTTAAAAAAAGAAAAAGGATTAAGGATTAGCTAATGACTTACAATACATTAAAATCGTTCATTTCCATTTCAATGGGATCATTAAATAAACCTTTCTAGTCGGGAGTAACTAGTAATCGTGGGTCGTGGGT